TTCTTTAAATACAAATCTGCATATTGATTTTTTAAACAAACAAGCAAATCCCCCTCCCTTCGCCGCCGCCCCCCCGCCCCGCACACAAGCCTGCCTCTGGGAGGGAGATAACCAGGTGGAATCTCACTCTGTTTCCATGGACAACCCGTCCATTATCACCCAGGTGACTAACCCCAAAGAGGAGGAGATCCTGTCCTGCACTCAGGATAAAGGTGAGCCGCCTTCTCTCTTTTCTCCAGGTTCAATTTTATTTTTTTAATTTATTTTCCTGGCAACGGTTGCTTAAAATCGCCCGTAGTGAGAACTTGTGGCTGTATAATCTAGGCTGCTGGGAACAGAGGAGGGCTTGGTGGGGTTGAGTGTTGGGTTTTAGGTTTTGGGGGTTTTTTTTGAGGGGTGAAGGTATTTGCATGAAGGTCTCTGAAACTGCTTGCTGCGCATAGCTGAGAACTTGTTACAGTGTTTAAATACTGAGTTATTTAAATAAAATACTCTGGAGTTCCTGGAGGGTCGAGGAGGTAACTTTGTAAGGTTGTCACTTCGCAGTTAGTGCCCTGCTTCGGGGAAAGGATACCTGTGCGCCATGCGTGGGAAGGTTTTGAAATCTCAGCTGTAATGATTTTAAATTCCACCCCTCCCCGCCCTTCTTTTCTGGAAAAAAAAGGGTTTCCTTGATTTCTCTGTGCTTTCCTGTGTTTCTCCTTTGCCTCACATTTAAGAACCTGTGTAGTTTTCAGGTCAGTTGTTGGAGGATACTTGTGCGTCTCAGAAATGAAACAAATGTGAGCTACTTTTAAAAGTGAGCTCTGTTACATGGTCGATAAATAGTTGCTGCTCACATATGCCATCGCACTTGGATTGTGTTTTGCTCCAAAGTAAGATGAATCCAGCCTGGCTGAAGGAGCTGCTTCTCCTCAAAAGTCTACATGTTGGTGATTTCTGTGACTGTCCTTAACCTCTGTTCCCTTTTGGAAGCTTGGAAAGGTCTTGGGCTCTAAATGGTTGTGTCCTTGCAGCTGATGAGGAGAAAAGTATGGGCTAAGCGGGAGGGTTTGAGTTCTGCCAAGTTGTGCGTGATTGCTCGTGGATTTTGGAAGTTATTTGGATATCGAGTTTATGCTTTATTACAGGCAGTGCTGGCAAGAAGAGAGGAGAAAGGACAGAAATTAGTGTGGTGATCTTCCCTAGTAGGTGTGGGAATAGACCTCCGAGTGGTCTTCATTAAAAACGGTGGATTGGTATATGTCTCCCTAAAATCGATGCCTTTAGCATCCAGAAAGCTTCTGGGTTTGCGTGGCTCATCTTTTAAATACTGAGGGGTCCTGTATTGTTGGAGAAATTGTTCCCTCCTATTTTCAAACGAAAGGCTGCGTGTGAAACCTCGGTATCCTCCTCTAGCCGATGCCAACTGCAGAAGTATGTAGGTACGTTTAAAATCAAAAGCCATCAAGTTGGAGGTGCTTGAACGAAAAATTAAATTTTTGTTCAGTGTAGGAGCGCTCGTGTAAGTCTCTGGAGTTCGTACTGCTTGTGAAGCGATACTTCCACTGCGAGGCCTTGTTTGTCTCAAGAGATTTCTGACGTTTTCCCCCCTTTTGGCAACATTGAGCTGAGGGTATGGACAGTAAATAAGGTGCTGGTGCTCTGCCTTCGATGTCTCCTAAGACCTGGATTGGAGTAGACTTACCTGAAACCGTGCTCAGATGTCGTGGTGGTCTCAACCCTCTATTAATGTACATACTGGAAGAGCTTCTTTAATCTTGCTAGCAGCTGGTTGAAATTTTAGGGTAAAAAAGCTGGTTGAGGCAAGTAGAGGAAGATTTGACAGCTCCAAAAAAAAAAAAGTGAGCACCCACATCAAACAAGTGTCTTCAGAGTCCTTGGTACAGCGCGCTACTCCGTGCAGCGAAAATATGCATATACCTTGCATAACTATGCAGCAACTTGCATAATGTGCATTGTGTTCTCGCTATTGGTTTGTCCCTGGCAGGAGATCCCGGTGGTTTTAATTGCATGACAGGGGCTTCTCAGGCTGCGTGTTAGCGAGCGTGGGCTGGGGGAGACTGGAAGGACGGTGGTTGGAGTTTGAGACGGGAGGAAACTTCAGCGTGATCTTAGTACAGAGGGTGGATTAATGTGTTTGGGTTTTTTCCCCTGTGTTTTTTTTCCTCTTTATTTTTTTTTTTAAATGTGGTTAGAATGTATGCTTTAGATTGAGACTTTTAAATGGCACCAGAGCAGCAACTTTTGCAGAAAGAATTGCAGGTCTGTCCGTCCTGGGCTCTGCGAGGAGAGCGCTGCTTGCTCCTACCTCTTCCCCTACAGGTTTTCCCACTGCTTGAGGCACGGAGCATGTGAAAACCCTTCCTTGTGTGGTTGTGTGTCGTGTCACCCACTTTTCTGTCAGATTTCTTTATGCTTTTAGCAAACCTTTAGGTCCGAAGAGCCATGAGAGTGCTCGGAGCTCTTAGGTTCTTAGGGGCAGACTGATGGTTAAAGTGAGTCTTCGCTGCTAATTCAGATTGAACTCAGTGTATTGGTACAAAATGGCTAACAAATATGTTGAGGCATAATGAATTAACTCTTTCTTTAACGAATACAAGAATCTCCCAAGCCGATCTTCTGATATTTGGTAATACAGTGAACTGCAACAGCACTGTATAGTGTGGGCAAAGGCTGCCCAGTTTAATGAAAAACTGCTTTTTCCTCTGAGTTTAGCATTTGGCTGCAGAAACACGTTCCAGGGTTCGAAGTGGCATGGAGTGGCTTTGAGAGTCAGGGTTTTCTTAAGGGTTTCGGGACCTTCTGTTGGTGTTCTCATGGGGAAAAAAAAAAAGTTATTTATTGTTAAGCTGGAGAGAAGCAGTTTTACAGTAGCTGAGCAACTGCTAAATAGTACATGTGTATATCTTGAAGCGTTTGATTTTTTTTTTTTAGTTTTTTCTTCCCCCCCCAAGAATTTTGGAAGCTTTGAATCAACTGTGAGCCCACGATTTATTTATTTTTAAAAATGTGTTTATGTTTTAAAAGGAGCTTGCTGTGCTATATATGCTTATGCTCAATTTCTCTTGTGAAAGGGGGTGCAGTTGGCAAGAAAACAGAGCTGTTCTCTGGTCATGGGACATTTATGTTTTTAGGTAAATACTGCGCTTTACAAATTAAGATACCTGGATATTTTCTAGTTAATCCAGATGCATTAAAAATTGGCTTTTGACATAAGTGAAGCCGTGATCGCTTGTTAAAGAAGAGTTTATTAGGGCTCGGATGGAATTGTTAACATTTATTTTTAACAAAAATTTTGAAGGTGGAGAAAACCAGATCTTGGTATGCGAACCATTCTCTAATATGTTGCCACAGGGTGGTGCACTGTATTTAGTTGTCTGTCAAAATGAAAGCTGAGAGTGGAAAGTCGCTACAATCTTGTTTTATTATTATTGTACTGTTTGTTCTGAAATGCCTGTGGTGTTCATGCTCCTGGAGGATTTTTTTTCCCCCCTATCTGTGTCGTTAAATTAGTTCTGGAAAACAGAAACTTACATTCTGCCAACTGGAAGTGATGCCTAGATGGCGAAAAATACTTTGAGCACTACATTCATGGAGAATTTAGTTCCCTGTTAGTTTATTAAGTTACAAAAATAGCATTTTTTTTTTTTGCAGAAATACTTTACATTGTGGTTGTTTGGCACTTCTGGAAATTGGAAGCATTAATGAAACCTGTGACTTGAAAGTAAAATGGAGACCTAAGTGTGTGAAAAAGGGTTTATTATGTCAGTGATAGCTGTGAGCAACTAAGAAAAACGTAAATAAAAACTGCAAAGTAAACCTGAAGATCTACATCTCCGTATAATCAATTCTGCAGATAAAATCAACCATTTATTTTATAAGGGAAGTATTAATTCTTGCTAGTTAGTTGGACAGTGTCCACTAATATAAAATCTATATCTGTAGAAAACAGTGCAACGCTGCCAAGTCTTTGCACCGAGTGTAACGCGAAGGGTGTGATCAGGAATAGAGGTGACAGACACTCAGTCTGAAGATGTGAACATCCCTTTTTTACCTCCGTGCTTTAACTTGATCCTCATCACTGAGGCAGATTCTTTGCATATATCCACGTGCAAAGTTTGGTAGCAGCAAAAATAACAGACCAGTCCTTCTTCAGGTACCAAATCCTTGAGGCTCTTCAGATACATCTTTCTAGAATTCTATAAAATTTATCTGTCGTGAGAGCATCTGTTTTTCATTTATTCAGAATAACTGGATGCGTCCCTATAGAAGTGTGTTTTCTTCAGCAAATTATTTGGAAAAGGTTCACGGTGGAGCCTAAACCGTTATAAATTTTTTTAGTGCAGGGTAATTTCCCGAAGATGTTTTTGGAAACAGGCAAACTTTTTGCCTTTCTTTCTTTCTTTCAAATAATACTGGAAAAAACAGCAATGAGACCAGTATCTGTTGTCGTTTAAAGTAGCAAGTTCTTAAAATCTCAGGTTAAAAGCCAAAATAAGTTTCTTCAGTTGTGTCTTCAAAAAAAAAAGCATTTTGAAAATATATGAAAATCTTCTGAATATTTTTCTGCAATTACATCATCAGTGTTCAGAGTATTCAAACATCCTGAAGTATATTACTGTTCCTGAGACATCTCCACAAAATTTTATAATATTAACTTCAGAATTTTAACTTTCAAGTAGCATTTTTATTTTTTTTTAAATGGATGCAGAAACCACTCCAGCACTCCATTGGAATGCGAATTGCTCGCAGAGCGTAAGAAATTTTAAATCATTAACTAATGACATAGTTGTTATATGAAACCAGAGTAACCATACAGTAGGTTTTATGTTCCAGGGAGACCAGAGTAACCTGTAGTAACCCACGATTTGATTTAGGGTAGCAGTTAACAAGCTGAAGCGTACTGGCAGTAAGGAAATGATAATTTGCATGAATATCTAATATTCAGCCCATGTCTGTAAGCTGCAGCATTATCATTTCTTCGTAGTGCATGTCATCTCAAATTCGTATTTGTTTCAGCGCAGTGATTTAACTAAAGTGTTCAGAAGTTTTAACACGCCTTTAAAAAAAAAAACAAAAAAACAACCCCACAAAGCTGACCTACATTTTGTGAATTTAGTATTCCGAAATGCAAATAGCGTTTTCTGACGTAATCGGTAAAATGCGGTGGGATCGGTGCTACACTTCATCTTTTAGAATTCAGTCAGAA